TAGGTGGAAGTCATATGTGAGGTTGTTTAGTATTCAGCACTGCTGTCAGGTCTTGTAGGAGGCACTGATCTGTCATTGATATTACAGACACAATTGAAATCACCTAATAGAACAACTTGCTTATCGGTGTCGCAAAAAGGGGCGAGATTTTTAAAAAAAGTCTTTGTCGAACATCGGCATAAATGCAAATTAAACGCCAAGAGATACCTAAAAAAAAAGAAATCACAGCATCCCTTATCATCCACAGCATCTGAAAATGACGAGTGTTCTAATTTCTTCTTCAAGAACAATAGACCCCCTCCCGACAAGCCATACGCATGGCTCACACATACCTCATAACTAGGGTGTGTACTTTCCGGTGTTTATTTGTGAGAAAAATCGGCGGATGTTTTTCGGTGTTTATTTGTTTTCAAAACACCGGTGTATTTCGGTGGAACGTCTCACGACAAGGCTAAAATCGGTGAATATCGGTGAAAAAAAGCGATTGATCACATACAGAGAGTTCCAATTTTAATCACATAGTTCACACACTTCTTCTCTAGGAAGCAACTATTTTTCACACTTGGTTATCATAGTAGATGCAAGCATACTTTCATGCTTGCATCTACACGCAAGGAACGTGCTGCCGTCATGGCAGCACGTTCCTTGCGGTTCGCAACCCGCAATTATGAAAACGCACGCTCCTGTACGACACGTACGTTGGCAGTGTCTTCCAGGAACCACAGCAACCTCTGAATACATGGCTTGCACCGACATCACTTGGCGAGACACAATGAGGAAAAGGCACGTGAGAGCCTACCCTCCACTGTGTTAATTTTTCCACAAAAGGGGGCCATGGGAGGCACAATAGAGGAAAGGCGTATGAGAGCTTAGCTTCCACTGGGTTCACTAGACGCTTTTGACCCCCAGAAAGGAGGGCGCACTGACGCCACCTGCAAGAATGCAGGATCCACAAGATAACTCGTTTGACGAACCTCTACGGGGAAAGGGTTCGCTAGGTCGGAAACTAGCAACGACCGGTGTTTTTCGGTTTTAACCAGGGCGTAAATATACAACCACCGGTGTTTTTCGGTTTTAACCGATTTTCTATTTTCGTCACCGACGGATGTTTATCGGTGTTTTTCGGTTAAAACCGGAAAATGCGCACCCTACTCATAACTTGAGAGGGAAGGGTCCAAAGCACGAGCTGTGCCTCGTCGGGCGATATCTTTGTCTCCTGGACGGCAACAAAGTCTTTCTGTTCCTTTTAGAGGACCCTATACACTTGGGTGTATAGGGTCCTCTAAAAGTGCACACTATCTTTCTTAATCCAAGAAGAAATGTTCCAGACAGCGGAAATATGGTTAGCCCGATGAGAACCGGTCGTGACCTGATCGGCTGTATTTTCGGGTGGCAGGGGGTCATCTAATTTAGTCCGGCTGCGTTCTCCTCAACCTTGAGTTGTGTCGGGGGTGCGGTGCCTGTGTCCAACGTTTCCTACATCCCACGGTTCACACCGCCAAAAATACACGCCCAGAGCAGCTAAAACTTTTTGGGAAGCCTGGATGCCTTTATGCGCATGCGTTGTCCCGTATATTTAGTTGTCTTATGCCGGCATTGCATTTAGGCGAAGTTTGATCAGATTGCTACTAGTTTGTAAATAGGTAAGAAGTACGTTAACCTGACCGCCTCAGGGCTTTTCGATGAATCGTTCAACCAGTTCAACGCTTGTTTCATATGTTACGACAACTAACGAGTAATACAGGTATAGTCCCTCAGTACCAGAGCACTGAGAAGGAAGAAATATATATTCCCGGCATAAAAAAAGAAAAAGAAGTCAACATTTTTGGTAAAACTTTTTACGATTTTTTTAAGATTGTTTTTTGAAAACTTAGTTTGAAACTGCGGAATTTTATCGATCGTTTGTGAAATTCGAAGACTTCGAACTTAAAAATATCAAAGCTTGCGAACTTTCAGAATTTTAAGCTTAAATAAATAAGTAATGTTAGAAGGTTTTGAACGATCTGTCAAAAAAGTTGCCTCGAACTCGAACTTTCATAAACCTATTCGAAACTATTCGAACTCGAACTTTCAGAAACATTGACATTTTTTAATTATTCTGTGGTGCTAGCCAGGGGACTCGGACGTTGAGTAGGACGACGAGCGCGTGATATAGAAAATACAATTCAGTTCCGCTCGAGATTCGAAGCTGTTCAGTCCTTTATCCTCCTGCAACCTCCACATTAATGACCTGGACGTGTCCCGAACGAATTCGATTCTAAGTAGGGTTCTAAAGTTTCGAAATTTTCAAATTCGAGCCTTAGCGAGGTTCGAAACTTTCGAAGCCTTTCGAACTTAAACTTCGGGAGGTTCGCGATATCCCTAATTATAAAGGCGTTCGTTGCGCTAGCACTATAGGTCAGTAGTATCTACTACTATCTAGTGGTAACAATTCACGCGTCTATTACAAAAGGAAAAAAAAAAAAGCTAAGGGGTTGGTTTTTATAGCCATATTTGTTCGTCATTGTGGCGGAAAAAAAATAAATTTGTGTACGATTGTTCTTTTCCATAAACAAACGACTGGATATCCAGCGGGTTTTGTGCTTCGGTTAATTTCCCACTTTTTCCTTTTTTAGAGCGCAGCTCTTAGGGGCCCGTTCCCGGCTTGAGCGGCGTCGCCGTCGGCGTCGCCGTCGCCGTCGCCGTCGGCGTCGGCGTAACCAAGGTCATCCCAAGGTCACGTGGCCCCCAAGGTCACGTGACCCCCCCCCCCCGAGGTCACGTGACCCCCCTTCCGGTCACGTGACACCCCCAGGTCACGTGACCACCCCCAGGGTCACGTGACCCCCCGAGGTCACGTGACCTCCCCGATGACGTCATCGATGACGTCACCGGCATCCGCATCGTCATCGTCATCATCACTGATGACGTGATCAGTGACGTCACTGGTGACGTCATCAGTGACGATGACGATGCGGATGCCGGTGACGTCACTGATGACGTCATCAGTGATGATGACGATGACGATGTGGATGCCGGTGACGTCATCAGTGACGTCACTGATGACGTCATCAGTGATGATGACGATGACGATGCGGATGCCGGTGAGGTCATCAGTGACGTCACTGAGGACGTCATCTGTGATGATGACGATGACGATGCGGATGCCGGTGACGTCATCAGTGACGATGACGTCATCGGGGAGGTCACGTGACCTCGGCGGGGGTCACGTGACCTGGGGGTGTCACGTGACTTCGGGGGGGCATCCGCATCGTCATCGTCATCATCACAGATGACGTCATCGGAGTCCGCATCGTCATCGTCACTGATGACTCCCCAAGGTCACGTGACCCCCTCCCAGGTCACTTCACCCCCCAGTACCCTTCCCTCCTCCTCCTCAAGAGCTGCGCTCTAATTCGGTGTTACAGGGAGTTGTAAACGGCTTTCACTTTTTTTCTTTTTTTTTTTTAAACAAAAACTGCGACGGTTGTGTAGGTTTGACATTAACCAACTTCTCCTAAAAATAAAAATAGTTTTTTTTTTTTGTGGAAGGATGTTTTTAACGAAACAAGTGAGCGCAAGTTAGGTTTCGGGATTAATTTCACATATCCTCGTATTGTAGACTTCTTGTTTTACGTAAAACATCTACCGCACCTGGCGAAGAAGTTCTGGCAAAAATTTTCTGAAGGGGTCAAACTCAAATTACTTCGTGAATTAAATACGGTCGCGTGGCTCGGCGCTGTAAAATATAAATTCCGTAGGGTGCATTCCTAAAGTAAAAACTAACAAAACTTGAAAAAAAAAACAGTATTTATTTTTTAGGGGGGGGGGGGGAGGTGATATACAGGGTGATTCAAGGAGAGGCCAGGCTCTTTAAATCGACCGCAAAATTCGGTTTCTTAACCTATCGCGCTACGACTTTGTGCAGCGTTGCCCACAGATGGTGCTTTTATTTTTTTTTTTTTTTTGTAAAATTTGCACAGAGTGAACTTACCTGAGGAAAAAGTAAAGAAAAAAAAAGGCTTAGCTCCTATGGAAACGCAGCGAAGCCACCGATCTTCAAACAACACGGCGCCGTTTCGCACGGGAGACAAGAGATGGCGCAAGCGGTCGCGACGCCAACTGCCACCAACGAACGAGCATGCGACGCCGAGAGCCGGCGTCTTCAGCAGACAAGGAACTGCAGTTCCTTGTTACCGCGCCTGTTTTTGTTTCTGCGACTGTCGCCGCCTGCGGAACGCGCGCCGCTTTTGAGTCGAGAAGATCGTCTGCTGAAGACGCCGGCTCTCGGCGCCGTATGCTCGTTCGTTGGCGGCGTTCGTTGCGCCATCTCTTGTCTTCCGTGCGAAACGGCGCCGTGTTGTTTGTAGACCGGTGGCGTCGCTGCGTTTCCATAGGAGCTAAGCCTTTTTCTTTCTTTACTTTTTCCTCAGGTAAAATCGCTCTTTGCAAATTAAAAAAAAAAAAAATTCACCATCTGTGGGCAACGTTGCACAAAGTCGTAGCGCGATAGGTTAAGAAACCGAATTTTGCGGTCGATTTAAAGAGCCTGGCCTCTCCTTGAATCACCCTGTATATATATATATATATATATATATTTTTTTTTTTTTTTGTGACAGAGAGGAGCTAATTTAAAGTCGTTTCATGATCTCTTTGACAAGCACTCGCAAACATCACTCTGGGAGAATACGCAAAAGGTCGATGAACCACTGACAGTATTTGAGAAAGAAACAAAATTTTATCGATGTGTTTCTCAGGCACCCGATACCTCTGGCTGTTCTAGGCTTATGAATTTGCGCAAAATAATTAAACGGTCTAAAAAAGAAAGGAATAAAAGAAAAGTTAATTGGTAGCCTGAAAAAAGAAATCGTTTTGAGAACACACCGCAACGTCAAGAAGTTTTCAAAGCTGAGAGAAATGTTCCGACCGGCGGATGTTCCTCCATCGTTATCGTCGGTTAGGCGCCGGCCTGCCCGTTACACCTTTTATCAGTACGATTGCTCTGATACCTATAGCTCATTTTCCTTATCGTGCGCTCGTGCGCCCTCGGTAGAGGTACTGAGGAAAGGTTCCCGCGGAGCGTATTGTGAGCAGCGAGTTCGTTGCCGTATGCTAAAGTCGATCCTCCGGATCGAGGCATGGCGTCCTCCTTCATCGGACTCCTTGTTCTTTGTCTGTGCCTCGTTTACGACCAAGTGGGGTGTCAAGACCAAGTTCGGCGTACTGCGGACATTGTCATCGTGTTGAAGAGCGAAGACGGAGGATTACCCAGAGGTTTGTGGACGCGGTTCTTTTCTGTATACAGCGCGCCATCGTCTCACCTATGGTGTTTGTGTGACACCACGTAAGGCGATATTGCGAAAATGGGGGTTCTCGTACGAGGGTTCAGTGGTTCAGTCCTCGGCCTTTGTTCGGCGGCCTCGGGTGATCGATATCGTTATCACGGTACACCGCGGGGGAAATTCCCAGTACCCGAGTAGGAAATCGTTGGTGTTGTTGCCGGTGTCACTTTATGGATGGGTGCTTACCTGCCGAGTCCCAGTGTACGGGCTGAAACCTAATTCGCACAATGACACATCAGACTTGCGCCGAGATACGAGTGGGAATTACGACAACCAAGCGATGTCATGACTCGACGTAAGCCCATGCTGAATGTTATCAAACCTATACACACTAACAAGATGTACACCCTTGAGGGTGTAAAAATGCTGCTCCATAGGCCTACATTCGTGACTACGCCCTTTCAGCACCTTTATTTTGACATAATTACATCATTTTTAATCGTAAAATTAGTGCTGTTGCATTGAACACCTTTCATTTTTGAAGGGTGTAAAGAGAGTGTGAAAAGGCTGAAGTGAGTCGAACGCACTTTGTGAAGGGTGTTCGGAGTACTGACGCCTGTTTTAGTGAGGCTGTATTCTCGAATAATTCTTGCCTCTAACTATCACTGTTTTTTTTTTACTTGAAGATAGATTCCTTGAACTTAGATATACTATGCATTACGCGAAGTATTGACGAGCATAACGCGATATACTTGTAATCATCATAATTCATAAGAATACGCGGAAGCGTACATAATTCATATATACGCTTCTACGTATTGTGGTGTCTTCTTTTTTCTACTTTGGTTTTTTCTTGTTGCTTTGTGTTGGCTGTGCCGCGTAATAAACCGTCTTTTTGTTTTACGATGCAAGTGTAAAAAGTGTTGTTCATCTTATTGATTATTTAGCTCTCCCGCTTGGACCTCTTCGGGTTCTGCAGTATTGTTAGATAAAAATAAATAAACTGCGGAGGCGGTGCCCCCAGTGACTTCGAATTGTCGAGTAAATAGGGCGGTGGAGCAGTCACCAGGGTTATGATTTCTCTCTCTTTTATGACCCATCACGTCTGTATTTGCTGTCTCTGCGTATATGAGAACTGTCTGAATGCTTGTTATTTGTAAACTTGCTGTTCGCGGAAAATATCCCAAGATTAATGCTGCTAAGATCGCAAGCATCCTATTTTTTCGTGCCTTCACCAGCATCCTGAAGGTGTTGCTGTAACACCCTTAGGGTGTTAGCCCTGAGACAAGCTTTTTTCTACCCTTAGAAATGTGTAAAACGTTTCATTCTGTAGTCAAACGATGCTGTGAACTCAGGGTATTTTCTTAGAGTGCTGTACCAATGTCAACATGCGGACGCATCGTTCCTCCATATAGTTCAGGTATTTCAGCGGACGTCGCGACACCGAGTGTCGTCTTCCGTAAACTCCGGTTGCCATCGCTTTCCGCTGTGTTCCGGTTGAGAGGTGAATATAGCAGTAAAATCGATAGGTGAGCTAGTGGCACATGACTTACACGGATCACAATGCGTTTGTAGTGTCACCCCCATTGCCCTTGTTTATATTGACACGTTTTTTGTTTTGTTTTTAAGCTGCGATTCAAGGTAGAATATTTATAAATATATGATATTTATATTAACCTTTTGAAAGCTTCGATAAATTTTTTTTAACGATTAAGCCGTACGCGCTTGCCCACAAAAAACACGAGGGAGTGCAACTATAGTGTTCATGTTTTTAACTTCGGAAGCGAATGAAACATCTGTAACATCTACAGAGAAAGACACTCTTGTTACAATCTTTAAATTCAAAATGCGTACCGCAACAAAGTAAAAAGGAAAAAGAAAAATAATCATGGACTCATCTATCAGGGGGTGCGACTTCCTAAAAAATTCGTCATGCAGGACAAAAAAAAAAAAAAAGCGCGTGATGTGTGATAATGATGTGTTTATAGACTAGCGAATAAATGACCGAATCTACAGCAATTTTGTCTAAAACTCTAAGGACCATATGAAACGAACCCTATTGTCGTGATGAAAGCTCTCCGGTGGAAGATCACTTAACGTTATGAAACGAACCCTATTGTCGTGATGAAAGCTCTCCGGTGGAAGATTACCTATAGATGAAAGCTCTCCGGTGGAAGATCACTTAACAAGCTACATGCTGCCCCAAATGTTTGGAGAAAAAAAAAAAAAAAACCTCTGGGCTATTTTTTTGAGCCGCCGATATACCGGAGACGGTGGTACAGAAACCGGAATAAAACAGGCGTCTTTAACCGGTTGTTCGAAAAGTAATGAAAATAACAAAAAAGATAAGCCACCATATAGAACGATGGAAGGGTAAAAACACAGGCAAGCAAGTGAACGAACCCGACACAAAACCGAGACCAGAAAAAACAAGGCAAACAACCAAGAACACACCGCGTGGTTGTCCGTTTTTTTTTTTTTTAATTTTTTGTGTGTGTGTTCTTAGGGTTATTATGGAGCAATATATCTAGTTATACTGAACCGTATGAGAAATTAATAAAATTATACGATGAAAATAATGAAAAATAGAAATAACAAAAAAAAACATTTTTTTCTTTTCTTTTTGTTTAATGTATTCCAGGACCGTCCCTGCCACGTAAACAAAATTGAGTAGTTTGACTGACGTAAAGGTTCTACGTAAAGGGACGAGACTTGGAACAAACACCGAATCCATAATTTGACGCATTCCATCAGGTAGCCCGTTGTTTTCTCCGTAGACAACTCACCTCCGATTCTTCAGAAAGGCTGTTCTGTTTATCTCATAAACCGGGCTATCGTGTATTTTTCTTTCTTTTTTCTTTTTTAGGCATGTAGAAAGGTCCAGCACTCGTTCGAAATCAAATGAAAATATTTTTGCACGGTGTACGTCTTTCCGGTGTTTATCGTGACTGGGAACTAGTATACGCACGTTCAACGTCCGATATTCCGCAGGAGAGAGCTACTGAGCATGCTCAGAACGCGTTCCACAGCCCAGCAGACAAAGATGGCAGCGCTCAGAAGGCGCTTATACGGCGATAAACTCAGGGAGAGGAGGAGTGCGCGAGTGAGTAGAGACGCAGGCTCTGTATAGAGACGACGAAGGCTCTGTCTTTACCGGACATGTACGTAACGCGTTACTAGTACCGAGTTACTTCTATCGAGTTACTTTTTTTGGTAACGAGTGACGTATTTAGTTACTTTTTTTAGAAAAGGAACGAGTAACGGTATCTCGTTACTTTTGGGGAGTAACTTGTACACAACCGCGTTTAAACAGCCTTGTTTTAATTGTAAAACGAGTATGCGTCCATTGCGACAAAGGCAGACGGGCATATAGGGTTCGCTGGTTGAACCTTCCAGAGTCGTGTATAGAAACCGAATGTAAACCCGAAGGTAGCGAACACGGGAAGGCACAGAACACATTGTTAACTTCGAACCTTATAAGCAGAGGGAACAAACGAGAAAGGAAAATCCCAGATTCGCCAGCTCTTCCTGAAGCACAACATTGCCGTTTCTTCGAGCGCGTCGGTAGAACGACTCTCCAGCGTCGCCGCATATGTATTCTCAAGGAAGCGGGGAAACGTAACCGATGAAAACTTCGAGAGGCAGCTACTGCTTAGGTGCAATGACTACTGAAACTAAAACAATAAAGCATGAAACAAAAACAGTTGTGAATTGGGTCGTCAAAAAAACGAGAGAAAAAACTCGTTACATTTGAGGTAAAGTAACGCGTTCCTTTTTAGAATCAGTAGTGACGTATGGAGTTACTTTTTGAGCGAGTAACGAGTAATGGCATTTAGCTAATTTTTTGGGGTAACGCGTACATGTCTGGTCTCCATGCACTAATCATTCCAACTAGAGACCAGTGCTCTGACGTCCCTGCGCACTAACATCTCCTTCTATCTCTCTCTATCTCTCAATTTCTCTCCGTATTGGAACGATCTTTTTTAGAGGCTTCACGTGCCATCGAGCGGTCGATGAAAAACCCGCTGGATAATGCGGTCCTATTCTCATCCATTTGCCATGTTGACATTCAAAACCTTGGTGGGCACTTAAGCTTCGCCTTTAAGGGTGGAGCGCGATAGCGTTATCGAACCCCGTTCGCATCGCCTTCTCATTCGCTTCTCATGCTCTTCCTAAGAGTTAGCAGGAAGACAGGCGGACAGCTCGTGACCGAAGGGTCATGGGTTCGAATCCCGCCTAAAATTCTTTAAAATTTTCTTTGAATTTGTTTTTAAAGTGAAATCATTTGAGACATGCGGCGACCTTTCATTCGGTTTTTTAATCACTTTCATTCCACGCGTGACGCCACGTTTCACGTAAGCGTTGTGGGTTTGAAATTCCCTCGCGAGCTAGGTCATGTGGCTGTGACGTATTACCCTATCGATCAATCACGATTTTCGCGTCCGCGCTTCTTGTGACGCCACCGACACCGGCTTTTTTAAGACACGAGCTCCTTAAATGGGTGCTGATCCAAACATTCCAGTGTCCATAATAAGCGGAAGTCCACGAGCCAGCAACCGCCGCTGTGCGCGAGCACACGCAACGAAATTGACGTCATAGTCCCCCGTTCACGCTCAAGATGATCATCTCCACAGTGGGGTCTGGTGTAAAAGGTAGGCGATTCATTGGTCTAACGATCACGTAGCCTTGCCTTGTGGGAATAAGAAGCCTGTTTTTATTCTCCTTCTGCCCGGATACCATACATTTCACTGTCATCTTAAACGTCAATGGGAGAATATGACGTCACTTTCGTTGCGTCTGCTAGGTCGCGCACACCGGCGGCTGCTGGATCGTGGAAAGTTCGTACGCCACTTATTACGGACACTGGAATGTTTGGTTCAGCACCCCTTTAACGCTCTCGCGTTAAAACGTTCGCGAGAGCTCAGAGCGTGCCCGACAAGACAGTACATTGGGGTGGCAGTCACGGCCTATAAATTATGTTCAGGCGCCTTG